TTTTTTTAAATTTTCTTTTAGGCAGTTGGGGTTAAGTGACTTGCCCAGGGTCACACAGCTAGTAAGGTGTCAAGTGTTTGGTCTGAACTCAGGTCCTCCTGACTTCAGGGCCAGTGCTGTATATACTGTGCCACCTAGCTGCCCCCAGAGATACTTCTAGGGACCTGTAAATTTTCAGTTCTTCCAAGGTGCTATGATCAAAGGCAAGGTATTTACTCCTTTGTTGGCCTGTGCTCTGTTCTATGAGTAACCACAAGCACTCTTTTCTGTCTTGGAACTGTGAGGAGGATTTCCTCTCCACCACCACTATAAGCTCCACCACGCCAGCACTCATCCTCACCACAGGACCACCACCCAGAACTGTGAACTGGATCCAAGCACGGGCAAAGCAAGAGAATCTTGCACCGGCAGAGAGATCCCTGCCATCCCCCTCTGATCAGCCATTCGATTCCCCCTTAGTCTGTGGGCCAGAAGCTCAAGAAGCAGCCACCGCCCCAGGGCCGAGCTTGGGGAATGGAACTGGGACCCCACGCTTCTCTCTCACCTCAGAAATAGACTTTTCCCACTGAACTTCTAAGTTGTCTTTGGCGTTCCTGGGTTGAGAAGTCTGGAAAACACCACAACTGCCTGCGATTCAGTCCTATGAGGCCTGCTCCAGCTTTGTTGTAGCCTGCGTGCCCACGCCAAACTGTGTTCCTCTCCCAGCCTGGCACAATACACCTTTCTGATCAACCATCCAGGTGGTCTTGGGCTGGAAATTTGTTTCACTTTGTCTTTTTGTGGGTTCTGCTGCTTTAGAATTTGTTTAGAGCCATATTTTATAGGTATTGGAGGGGTTTGGGGGAGCACTCAAGCGAGTCACTGCTTTTACTCCTCCATCTTGGCTCCGCCCCTCGTCCTTGTTTTTCAAAGAAGACCAGTGACATTACAGATGATGTGTTGACTTGCACGTGAATCAGATTTAAGTGAGGCAGAGTTGTGTACTTGTCAGCCTCACTCTCTCTTCCATGGTCAATGACGTCCAGTGGCAAGACAAAAGTCAAGATGACTAGCAAAGGCCCAATGTCTGACCAAACTTGTAGAAAGTCAGCTTCCACCAATCCAGTATACTGAAAATGTTTCTCGTGGAGCCACTAATGACCTCCATAATCTAATGCCTTTTTTTCAGTTGTCGTTTTCTCTATTCTTTCTGCAACTTTTGACACAGCTGGCCATTTCCTCCTTCTTGATCCTATTTTCTTAGTGTGTCAAAAAGCATTTATTAAATCCCTATTGTGTGACTTAGAACTGTGCCAAGTTCTAGGAATACAAAGAAAGGCAAAAAACAGTTCTTTACTCCAGGGAGCTGACATTCCAATGGGAGATGATACAATAAATAAGTATATCCAGACAAAGACACATATAGAACAGATGGGAGGTAGTTTCAGAAGGAAAAGCATGAGTAGCTTGGGGAATGGCAAAGACCTTAATACAAAAGTTAGAATTTGAGCTGTGTCTGCAAGGAAGACATGGGAATGATGAGACAGCATTCTGGGCATAGGAGATAGCTAATGAAAAGATAGTCAAAGTGGACCCCGGAAATGGAGTATCATGCAGGAGAAACGGCAAATAAGCCAGTGCATTGTAAAATATGAGATGGGAGTAAAGTATAAGAAGACTGGAAAGGCCTTAGCTGCAGTGATTAGACTTTTGGTTCATTTACCTCTATGATCATTCTTTTCAGTTTCTTCAGGCTTATCCTCAATACAACAATTTTTTTCCCCAGAAAAAAATAGGAATTTATTTTTATCCAAGTAACTACAAATAGGGGAAGCTAGTGGATAGACTGCCAGGCCTGGAGTCAGGAAGACCTGAGATCAAATCTGGCCTCAGACATTTCCTAGCTGTGTGACCCTGTGTAAGTCACTTAAACTTGTTTGCCTCAGTTTCCTCATATGTAAAATGACTGGAGAAGGAAATGGCAAACCACTCCAGTATCTTTGCCAAGAAAACTCCAAATTGGATCACAAAGAGTCAGACACAAGTGAAATGACTGGACAACAACAAAACCACAAATGGAAAACCAGAGTTTAGGTCCTTGACAGTCTGTGACCACCCTTTCCCCCACCTCAGCTGGACCCCTTTCCCTTAACCCTCCCAGCTTCTCTCAGGGACTCTGATAGAAGGGGGTACTTATTAGAAGTGGGGGGATGGAACAGCTCCCCTGGGGCCCATCTCCCCAATAATGTTATTTTTTAGTAAACTAGATACGGTGTTCACTATCTATCCCCCACCCTCACTCTCCTTGTAAAGAAATATTTATTGCCTACCTACTATGTGTAAGGCCCACGTGTGACAAGTGTCCTGATGTAGTGAATAAAGAGCTAGTCCTGAAGCCAGAAAGACCTGAATTTTATCCTGCATCTGACACATACTGGACATGCAACCAAGGGTAAATCACTTAATGTCTCCATGTTCCAGGCAACTCTCTAAGACTGTGAGCTGCTCATTTGAATTGGTAGATAAAGTTTCCTTCCTGGGAACTCCCTACACCATAGAATTGATAGGTCTAATAGAAAAAGAAAGATGCTAGTCACTGGGGATTCAAAGACAAGAAGCTTATATTCTACTCTTCTTCTTACCACCTCCTAAATGTGGATGTCTTATGACTTCAGATTGCCATTGGGATGGAATGTGGACGTTGTAGTTATGTTAAACAATGGCAAATTAAATACTATATCTTGCAAGCCATTTTGTGTCACTGAAACTCTAGCAGATTTAACAAATAAGCTCGATGTGCTGTATCTTTCCTATCCTGCCCAGCCAAATTCAGTGAAACACTTAAGTGTAACTTGATAGGAGAAATAGGAAAGTATTCATAGAGGCTGACTAATGATAAATCTGTTAATATGTCTGTCTTAAATCCTTCTTGGAATTACTCTGAATCCTTATGGAAAAGTTCAGTCATGAGCCTTTTAGGCACCCCAGCTTCTACCATAAGCTCTGCCAGAACATAGAGAAATCCAAGATCTAATTTGAGATCCATTTTTTTTTTTGGATCAACACTTTGAAATATCTACTAGAGTATTTAAAGGGGTTGTCTTTGTGACATTGTCCTCCACAAACCAAGATAAACTTAGTAGAGATAAAACTGGCTGTAGTACATAGAAGTCAAATGATTTGTCCAGGGGTCACATACAGCTAGCAGGTGTCAGAAGTGGAATTTGAACCCACATCTTCCTAATTTTAAACCCAGCACTCAATCTACACTATCCTGTTCCAAATTTTCCTAATAATATCAAGGGTGCCACCAACCTTCCTGTCCCCCAGGCTGAAGACCTAGGTGTCATCCGAACTCCTCAGTATATCTTACCTCCCCATATCCAATCTGTTGCTAAGGCCTGTAGATTTCATTTTTACAACATCTCTCCAATATGTTCTCTTCTCTCCTCTGACATTACCACCACCCTAGTACAGGCCCTCACCTTTTCACATATGGACTATTACAACAGGCTGCTGATTGATCTACCTACCACAAGTCTCTCCCCACCGTAGTCTAACCTCCAGCTGCCAAGGTGATTTTCTAGAGCTCGGGTTTGATCATGTCACTTGGCCCTGCACTCAGTAAACTCCAGTGGTTCCCTATCACATTCAGGATCAAAAATGAAATCTTCTGTTTGGCATTCAAAGCCCTTCATAATCCAACTCCCTCCCCGCAACTATCTTTCCAGTCTTTACACCTTGCACCCCACTATGGACTCATCAATCCAGTGACATTGAACTCCTTGCTCTTCCTTGAACAACACTCCATCTCTTGGCTCCAGGAATTTTCACTGACTGCCCTCCATGTCTGGAATGCTCTCCCTCCTAGTTTACTTGACTTCTTTCAAGTGCCAGCTAAAATCTCACTTTCTACAGGAAGCCTTTCCCAATCCCTCCTAATTCCAGTGCCTTCTTTCTGTAGATTATTTTCTAGTTATCTTTTAAATATTTTGCTTGTACATAGTTGTCTGAATGTTGTTTCCCCCATTCAACTGTAAGCTCCTTGAGGATAGGGACTATTTCTTGCCTTTCTTTGTTTCTCCTGGGCTTAGCATAGTACCTACCACACTTAATAAATGCTTATTAGCTGATTGACATTAGTGTTCTGAAATGTCTTGCAGACTTCATGATAATAGTTCTTCTTTTACAACACTATCTAAGAGTTGGGTAATATCATTATTCCGATTTTAGAAATAAGGAAAACAAGTCTAGGAGAAGTTAAGTGGTTGGCTACATTAGGTTCACACAGCTAGTATCAGAGTCAGAATTTGAACCCAGGCCTCTGGCTTTAACATTCACTCAACTACAATATTAAGTCGCTCTTAACAATTATTTTTCAAAATCCATTTTCAATCCTAACCCATGGTGATTGACTTGACAAGTCTAAAAGATCAAACACAAGCTCTGTGAACTTGGTTTTATATCTATATCCTATAAATCTGGATACTGAAGGATACTAAGATGTGCAGGTAGGCAGTGTTCCACTTTTACAGCTGAAAAGTAATTTCTTCTTACAGGCATTACATATGGCTGCAGAATTTTCATCACTGGGGCTGAGATCTACAACTTCAGCCTCCAATTCACGATCTCACCATCTTGTGAAAGTGAGGCCACAATCTTTTCTTTTTAAAAAATCTATCCATCTATCTATCTATCTATCTATCTACCTACCTACCTATCTATTTATATATTTATTTATTTTTTGTTTTCAACAAAGCTTTTCACGAGCTCTGGCAGGTCCAAGCAAACTTTCAGAAAGTCTTCAGATTCAGACCTGGTGTCCTGAATGACTCATCATCCGAAGGCTGTGCATCAGATGAAGAATAATTTTACCCAGTGACTTTCAACATTCACTTCTACAAGATTTTGAGTTCTAAATTTTTTCCCTCCCTTCCCTCCTCCCTCCTCAAGATAGTATGTAATCTGATATAGCCTAAACATGTACAATTACATTAACCATATTTCCACATTAGTCATGTTGTGAAAGAAGTATCAGAACAAAGGGGAAAAACCATGGGAAAGAAAAATAGTATGCTTCGATCTGCATTCAGACCTCATAGTTCTTTCTCTGGATGTGGACAGCATTTTCCATCATGAGTCTTTTGGAATTGTCTTAGATCATTGCATTGCTGAGAAGAGGTAAGTCTATCGAAGTTGGTCATCGCACAATATTGCTGTATTGTGTACAATGTTCTCCTAGTTCTGCTCACTTTACTCAGCATCAGTTCACATAAGTCTTTCCAGGTTTTTCTGAAGTCTGCCTGCCTGTCTGTGAAGTAGCACAACAGTATTCCACTACATTCATATACCACAACTTGTTCAGCCATTCCCCAATTCATGGGCATCCCCTCAGTTTCCAATTCTTTGCCACCACAAAGAGTTGCTATAAATATTTTTGCACATGTGGGTCCTTTTCCCTTTTTTATGATCTCTTTGGGATACAGACCTAGTAGTGATATTGCTGGATCAAAGGGTATGCACAGTTTTGTAGCCTTTTGGGCATCGTTCAAAATTGTTCTCCAGAATGGTTAGATGAGGCCTCAGTCTTTTCTTTAAATACTCTAATGTTTAGGGTTTGTTCAGTCATTTTTCAGTCAGTCTAACTTTTCATGACTCCATTTGGGGTTTCCTTGGCAAAGATACTGGAGAGGTTTGCCATTTCCTTCTCTAGCTCATTTTGCAGATGAGGAAACTGAAGTAAACAGGGTTAAATGACTTGCCCAGTGGCACATAGCTAGGAAGTGTCTGAGGCCAGATTTGAACTCAGGAAGATGTGTCTTCCTGTCTTCAGGCCCGGTGCTTTCACCACCGTACCACCTAGCTGCTCCTTAACTTTTAGGGTTACCTAATGTTTATTGACTTTTATCTTGATTTCCTCTAGAACTTTGCGTCCCAATCAACATTCTGGCTTCCTGGATACTGTACTTCATCTGGGGCCTAGTTTCAAATCTCACTTCAAACACTAGCTGTTTGTGGGCAATTCACTCAGCCTCAGTTTCCTCATTTGTGAAATTAGAAAAATATCACCTACCTCAGTGGTTGTTGTGACAATCAAGTGAGATAATGAATATCCTAGTGATTTGCAAACCTCAAAGTGCTCTAGAAATGTTAACTATTATGTTATGATGACCCCAATGTAGGCTATTTATGGTTTTTCATCTTTTAATGACAGCATTTATTACTGTACTATCTCTCTTCTTTCCCATTCCCATTTATTTCTTTCAGTCCTTTGGGATCTTCAGTGAATAAAATCATATGTCACAAGCCTTCAAAGCATAAAAGTAAACAAATATATTTGTCATTTTGTTTTGTTTTTTCCCCACTGCACACTGAAACTGATGAGAGAGTACCCCAGATTTATAGGGAAAAATGCCTTGTTGCTATTTTTCTTACTATGCTATTTTTTAAAATTACTTTTCTTTGAATAATTTGTGTTCTCTGGCTGACTATTTAAGATAAACAATGGTGGAGGTTCATAGTTTTAAGCGTACAGACCCCTAGAGTGCATTGAACCTGGAATAGCAGTCTGCTGATAGGCCATTGCACATGAGATTGGGGGGGGGGGCACCAGATAGTATATCAAATTCAAACTCCTTATTCTAGCATTCAAGACCCTCTACATTTTGGTCCCAACTTAACTTGACAGCTTTCTTATGTAGTAATAAGAACTTCATTCATCCTGCAGTCTTGGGAAAATCATATTATATACCATTTCTCATTATTTTCCAACCGTTTCCCACCTTTATGCCCTCTGTTTCCCATACCAGAAATAGTCACACTCCACATCTATGCTTATGGAAATTTTTCCCTTCCTTTCAAAGCCAAGGTTTGGTACCACCTTTTCCTTGAAGCCTTTCTTGGTAGCTATAATTATCAAACCTACAACAGCATTCTATTTGGACCTCTCTTGTGCTCTTACTATAACACATCTTGTATTGAGTTATCTATGCATTTTAGTTTATTAATTATAGCTTATTCCCTCCCCACTATTATCCCTATATATTAGGGCCTTGTAGGCAGGAACAGTGTCTGTTTTCTCCTTATCCTATGTACTATACCTTGGAAGTACTTAGCAAAGGTTTGTTGAATTGAGCAAACACATTCCATTTTCCTTAAATGTACACCTGTTTTCACTTCTCTGAGCTCATTTCATCCTCTCAACAATCCTATGAGGCAGGTAAGCATGTATTATTATTCCTGTTTTAGCCAGGGCAGAGTGGTAGAGCCAGACTAGGAGCCCTGGTGTTCTAAGTCAGAAGCCCACATTCTTTCCACCATGCTTTGGCTAGAAAGATTACTAAACTGAGAAACAGGTAACCTAGGTTCTACTTTGGACTCTTCCAATTATTAGCTATGTGACCTTGGAGATTTTAATCTCTCTGGGTCTCAGCTTTCTCAGCTACAAAATGAGGGTATTGGATTAGATTATTTTAAAGTCCTTTCTAGACTGAAAAGCCTCCATGGGGAAATATAGTACTTATTCAAGTCCTTTCTCCTCAAGGGCACATGTGTGTGTGTGTGTGTGTGTGTGTGTGTGTGTGTGTGTG